TGGAGGCATCTCACCCAGAGAGGGAGCAGATGACCAAGGATGAAGCATCCAGGGATGCAGCAAGAGCAGGGACATTTGTCTCCAGTGAAGGATTGAGGGCAGATGAGGAGCAGGGATGGGGGGTGGCACAGGGTGGCTTTTTGGGCTTATTCTGGTTAGGGTTATCATTACCACTGAAGCTGGAGAGTAAGAGGAGGAGAGATCAGCCCAAGTGCCTATAGACAATGTCAGCAGTTGGAAATGCAGCTTCATTGCAAATGGCATTTGGTGTCACTCATGTAAATGATGCTACTGTCCTCTTATAGCTTCATCTTCTGCTGCATTGCCATTTGGAGCCTGGGCTTGCAAGGGAATGCCTGACTCTTGTGTTCTGCCATAGCATCTTTGCTCCTTCTACCCCCATCCTGACCTGGCTAGGCTGCTTTGCTGTCATAATCCCGGGCTGGCTGCAGCATGAAGCTTCCCAGCCACTCGATGCGATGCTGGAAATCACCGGATTAGGTCTTAATGGTAGGATCAAGGCCCTGGGAGATGAGTGGGGAGGAAGCTCTTGCTCACACAGGTGGCCAAACAGCACTTCCTATTAAAGCAAGCGAGAAAGGGCAGAAAAGCAGCTTCTTCCCAGGCTTCCCTGCGTTTAGCACATCTTTCATTTCCCAAGGGTTTCCAAATGCTGGTCTGAGGTTTGTGAAGGTGGTGTTGAGAGGTCAAGAGGTGCTTGAATCTGCTTGCAGTGGAAAATGTCTCGAGTGGTGGAATTGCTGTCCAAAATGTTAATCCCTAATGTGAAAGTTTGCTATCCACATTAGAAATCTGGGCCATTTCATAGCATATTGTGGTGTGGTGAAGGACACTGGTGTTTTGTGGTCATCTTTCTGCTGGTGGGGCTTCTAAACAACAAAGAGCCTGAGGAGCATGCTGGGGTTGTGTCTCAGGGTGGCATTGCCAATGAGCAACCACAAGATGCTCCAGGGTGGGGTCTCAGGGCACAGCATCCCCATACAGACCCTTTTCACCAGCATACATTGGTGAAGGCTCTTGTCCAACAGGCTCTGAGGTGATGGAGTTTATCAGCCTGCATCATATAAACCCTACCTTGTGTGTCTTCTGGCACTGTTCAAGGCCAGGTTGGAGGGGGCTTGGAGCAACCTGCTCTAGTGGAAGGTGTTGCGGCCCATGGGACCTGGATGGGCTTTAAGGTCCTTTCCAACCCATGCCATTTGATGATGCTATCTGGGTGTCTGTAGAGGAGGTGCAGACAGCATTTGCTGGAGCTGCACTGCAGGACTTGCTCATGCATGGCTAATGTGCCTGTGGAGTTCACATGGATGCATAGGAGGAGGAAGAGAGGAGGACTTAGCTTCAGCAAGCTCCTGCAGGGACACCAGCCCATACGGAGGGAGCCATGGGGATCCCAGCATCTGCTTTTCCAGCTCCTATTCTAAACCAGGTTGGAAAGCAATGGCTTCAGCTCACATTTGGAAATGAGAACAATCAGAGTATGTTTGCATGTGTTTATGTGTGGGGATGAGGAATCTTTCTGCTATTTGAGCTTTGATTTTCTTTCTTCTCCTCCGTCACTGGTGCCTGAGCTGCTTTTCAGACATAGGGAATTCCTGGTACATTAAGGAAATGTATAGGATCACAGCCTAGTTTGTGTTGAAGGCACCATAAAGCTCATCCAGTTCCAATCCCTGCCACAGGCAGGGACACCTTCCACTAGAGCAGGTTGCTCCAAGCCCCTGTGTCCAACCTGCCCTTGAACACTGCCAGGGATGGGGCAGCCACAGCTTCTCTGGGCACCCTGTGCCAGCGCCTCAGCACCCTCACAGGGAAGAGCTTCTGCCTTATTTCCAGCCTGACCTTCCCCTGTTTCAGTTTGAACCCATCACCCCTTGTCCTATCGCTACAGTCCCTGATGAACAGTCCAGAATTTCCAAGAGTTCCATATATTTCATTTCAAAACCAATGGGAGAAGGCAGAAATGGATTGCGCTGGGCAGTTACCATGCCTCCTCTGAGCACTCTACTAAAAAGGCAGCTACATACAAAAGGCCTGTTTATTCTGCTGCAGGATCATGGTTTGGACAGGCATTGTCTGGCTTGCTTGGGACAGATCATGCAGAGCGCCCTTGCTGTGGTGCAAAGACATTTGGCTGCTCCCTGGGATGGGAAGATGCTGCCTCCGGTATTCTCCTGTGGTTGCCCAGGCATGATGCTTGGCAGAGCTTGGGGTTGGCTTATGTCCTCAACATAAGCAGGACATGGAGCTGTTGGAGCAAGTCCAGAGGGGGCCACAAGGGTGCTCAGGGGCTGGAGCAGCTCCTGTATGGAGACAGGCTGAGAACACTGCGGCCGTTCAGCCTGGAGAAGAGAAGCTGCATGGAGACCTCAGGGCAGCTTCCAGTGTCTGAAGGGGGCTACAAGGATGCTGGAGAGGGACTCTTCATCAGGGACTGGAGTGATAGGATTTTGGGGCTGAATTTGACACTTCTAATGCTGCCTCTTTGCTCTCTGCGGGACTGCACCTGCTTTGCACTGTGTTGGAGTTGAGCTCTGGATCTACTCTGTCCACCCGACTGGATGTAATGGTGTCCTCAGGGCTTTCACGTAGATGGACAAGCAAGCCATTTCAGAGCTGCTGCGAGCTAGGCAGAACACAGCGGTGAAAAGGAAGGGTCTGAGATGGGGTCTCTGCAGGCAGCAAACGCTCTGAAATGCTTAAAATGCTGTTTGGGGGGGATCATTTTTCCCCAGCCCTTTGTCTGTGAAGAATGAGGGCTGCGAGGGGAGGCTTGCACCCAGGGTAAATGGCTTTATTGTTCCCATCCTTTCCATTGAGCTTCGGAGCCCCCCTATAAAAGACTTACCTTTCGTTAGTGCGAGTAAGAAAAGGCCAGTGTCGCTTTGGTGCTCAGCGGAGCATGAAGCGTGCTTAATTTAATAACGCTGATAAATCTCAGAGCCAGGAGCATTTGGAGCTAACACATGACCCACTTTTCCAATCAATCGGAAACATTTACATAACGGCCTGATGCAGGGTCCCTCCTGTGAGGGATGTGGAGCAAAGGGGTGGTAAGAGGGATGATGGCAAGAGATGTACTCCATGAGCGCTGCCACCACAATTGGTCCTCTGCAGGCAAGTCGTGACCCACCTCACTGGGACTGCAGTGATGTGCCTGGGTTTAGAGCATCCTGCTGAGCTTTGGAGTCCATCACCCCAATGGCAAAGTCCATCACAGCTATGGGGCTGGCACCCTGGACTGTAGCTGCTTGCAAAAGCAAGCTCTTGGGATGGTGTGTGGGGCAGGATGGCTTTCTGAATGCTGCATCTGCAAGCCACTGGCTGTGGCCATCAGCTGTGAACAGGCTCTTGCCTTCCTCTGGCTGTGCTGTCAGAAGATGCTCATCGGGTGGGGATGGGAGCTGCACTCTGTATTGGGGTGCATGGGTGGTGTCATGGCTTCATCTCTTTCCCTGCATCAAGATCAGGTTGTTCCTGGGGCATCCCTGGGGATGGTTTTCCTCCCTGTGCGGCATGGGCACCTCTTTGGGGCAGGCAGTTGTCTCCAGGCACATCAGGAGCAGTAGCGATAGTGACCTTCTCCATACATCAGCTTGTTCTGTGTTGCTTCCCATGCACAGGAATCAGCCTGGGGTGGCCCAACACAATTACTCCTTTTCCTTTACCATTCACCTGCAACAGGGTGTCTTGAAAGAGGAGCTTCCTGATCTCACACCTTGTCCCATCACTTCTCACCCCATTGCTGTTCCTCTGATCCCCAGTGTTGTCACTTTCCTCCTCCTTTTCCCTACTCTTAACAGCGCCTTTTGACTTGACACCTCCAATACATTTCATTTCTTACCTTTCTTGTTCCACTTGTAACATCCAGTGGCCTCAAGATTGGTGTTTGCAAGAACAAGTGAGCTGGGCTCCTGTTGGCCCAGTGGGAAAAAGAGATGTAATTGTTAACAATTCCCATTCCATGTCTCCCAAAGGATAGAGGTGATGGCCATGCTGAGAACACATACCAGACTAGTTTCATGATCAGTAATTCTATTGTATTACAAGGCATTATCACAGAGTACAATGAAAGGTGAACCTTAGCCCAAACCCAACTAATCATGCAGGGTTTGATCCATTTTGGGTCTCATAATAACCTCTTGAAAGACTTCTTACATCAAAGCCATCTCCCATCCATGATTGGTGCATGTTTAGTCATCTCAGCTGCCTCTTTGCATCAAAGGAATGCTTGAGAACTGGCTTTTTGATCACCTGAGTTCCCATCTGAGGGAAGGAAAATGCCAGATACTTGTGACCAGGTTCAGAAATCCCCATCTGATATATACTGAGGCATTAAATAACATGAGGGAGTAACTAACATTGCTGCATACATCTTTGCATTGCACATAGAAGGATGCTGGCACCTTCCTTTGGGACGAGATCAGCCTCTCCATGCTGCAGAGACATCCCATGTGGTGGTTCCTTGTGCAGAGATACTACTAAGGAAGTGTAGGGAAAGAAGAAGGAAGGATCTGTTGCTGTTCCTGTGATTTTCCAGCCCTGATTTCAAAGCACCAGTGGAGTTTTTCCCTCTAGAGGGCAGAGGAGGAAAGAGAAAGAGAGGGAAATGGACATGAACAGAGGTTTTGTTAGATATGTGCAGGGCAGGAATGGCTGAAAATGGTGTGGCCCTGAGATGCAGTGCTCAATTACGATGCTCAGCAGTCGGGGTGCAAATGCATGTGTGTAGCAACCTATTCTTCCTGAGGTCAGATAGATATTTCCAGGTGGCTTTTGGTCTTCTGAGTGCCTGTTCACACTTGAGATGGTGCGATAGGTGCTCTGGGTCTCCTAAAGCCCAAGTTCTGCACCCAGTAGGGTGCCCAGTCCATGGCATCTCCCTGCAGCTCCTCCAGCCGCTGCATTCCCATGTTCTGCATGGTCCATCCCACATCCATCCTGTGTTGATAGGAAACATCTTGCTTTCCCATCCCCAGGTGATAGAGCCGTGGTGCTGCCTCCTCCTGCATCAGGGAGCCCTCCCAGCTACTGCACAGCTCCTGTTCCCAGTAGGAAATGGAGTCCAAGGTCTCCGAAGGCGGCCTGAATGTCACCCTCACCATCCGGCTGCTGATGCATGGCAAGGTAAGGGGGTTTCCTCACAGCTCCCTCTCCCACATGGTGCTCGTGGCTCCTAATCGTAGAATCCCAGCCTGGTTTGGGTTGGAAGGGACCTTCCACTAGAGCAGGTTGCTCCAAGCCCCATCCGACCTGGCCTTGAACACTGCCAGGGATGGGGCATTCTTGGCCCCTTCCCCTGTCCTGCTGGGTACAAGGTGCCTCAGTTCTTTGCTTCATTATGGGGTTGGGCTGGATTGTCTTTGTGGTTTATGATGTTGATGCCTTTGTGTTTGGTTTTTCCTTTTCTTTAGGAAGTTGGCAGCATCATTGGAAAGGTAAGCATGGCTTTTGCATGTGGATTTCATTCTGTTGTCTGCACCTTTTTCTACGTGTGGTATCATAGATGCCGGTCATGTCTTCCCTGTGATGCCCTTAAGTGTTTTGTGTGCATGAGCTTAATGATGACAGACCCACAGAGGAATCAAAGACTATCCTCCTAAAATAACCCAACCCAAACCTAACCTAGTGCCATTCCCAACTGCTTCCCTGGGGTCATAAGTAGGTGTTTATGATAATTTTGCCTGGAATTTTATTTAAAGAGCTTCATTAAGACTAAAAATGTCATGCAGGCCCATTGAAGTTCTGCAGCACTTGTCTCTGCATTTAGTTGGGCAGAATAGCTCCACGTGGTGCTTTCCACAGTAGTTTGGAAAGTCCTGGCTATCCAAGATTGAGGGGTTTGGTGTATTGAAAGGGCAGGTTTATAATGGAAGAGGTTTTCAGCATGAGAACCTTTCCCCTATATGCTTGTGCCTTATTTTTTCCATCAGCTTGTCCAGCCCTGGAAGGATTCACAGGTTTACTTGCTTTATATCTGGACATAAAGACATTAGATCTCTCTTTGGATACTAGATCAGAAACCTGAAGTCACAGGGATCAGGGCCACAATTGCTTCAGCTGACCATCCCATGGGAATGGAGGGTCAGGCATCACAGAAGTGCCCAAATGCTTGGCTTTGTGTTGCCACCTATTAGAGAGATGTGTGTTTAGAAGGGTTATTTGGAAGGTGGAAGTCTTGATAGTAATAGCCTGTGCTTCTGCTTCTTGTTTCAGAAAGGAGAGACTGTGAAGAAAATGCGTGAGGAGGTGAGCAACCTGCTCTGTACCATGGTTTGAGGAGAAGGAGACCATTGGGGTCTCCTGGCCAGAGCTGCACACTGCAATAACTCCCAGGGTCAGGCAGATCCAGTTTTCTCACTCTGGCCTCAAATCCCTATTGTATTTAATGGGAATTCTCCAGAGCCAAGAATTTGCTCTTAAATGAACATTGAAATCAAGTCACTTCTCAGATGCTTGAGGTTGTCCAAGGTCTTTATGCCTGCAGTCACCAAGTAGTTAACATCAGATGAGCAAGCAAGGCTCTGCTTCTCACAAGCAATGACCCCGTGAGCTGGTCTTGCCTTGATCCATAGGGGTTTGCATTGTAGTAAAAAACCCAAAGCAGATAAACTAGCGCAGCTGTGTAGGCCACAATCTGCAGGGTGACCCTGGCTGTAGGCCACAAATTTATAACGAAATATCCCAAGTTAGTGTCTTCCTGTTGTTCAGATGATTGCAGACTCATGGCTCAGACTTCCTGCAATGATCCAAAGCTCACTGAAGCAGGGAGGAGCAGCAACGCACTTGTGACTGGTGCTTTTACAGCCATGTAGGGATTTTGCCTGCACCAAAGAGCTGAAGTGTGCCATGGAGAAATAATGCTGTAGCTGTCAGCAGCATGGCAGACTGTGTATGAGTACTGCTGTAGGCCTTTTATTTTGCCCTTATGTGCTTCCAGATGTCTGATTCTTGGAGATCTTTTCCTTACAGGAAGGATCACGCTGAGCAACTGGGCAACAGCAGTGGAGTCAGTCTTGCACTTGGGATTGCCCTGGCGAATGCTGAGGCCACAGCTGGTGCGCAGCACAGCAGATGGCATGCTGGAATACAAGTCCTGGCTGGACGACTTGGCCATGGAGCGGCCGAGCCAAGAGGTAAGGCCTCGCCCCCTTCCATCGACGCAGGTCACCAGATCCCTTCAGCATGTGGAACCAAGAAAGGTTCTACAGGGGAATTGATAGTTCTTGCGTAATTCAATATCATACTGAAGTTGATGGAAGAGCTTGCGTGAACTGAATCAGTCCAGAAACATTGAGTCCATTCCAGAAATAGATGATGTATGTGTGATCAAAATCTAGAGGTAGTTTTGGATGCAGGCTTTTGAGTGGGAAAACTATATTCCATTCTCTGAGTCACAGTTTCTCTAATTACACCCAGCAAAACCAACTCTGCAATGGTTAAAATGCATAATTCAAATCACTGTCTTCTCTGTTAGCCTAGAAAAGCTGTGTTTGGAAGCAGTAAGTTGCTACAATGCAGAGTTGCACAGAGGATCCAGTCATCACCAACCTGTTTCATAAGGCACACGATGCTAAGTGCACTGCTGGCAAACTCTTGAGAGCAGTATATGTTTTCATTTATGTGAAGGTAGCAGCAACTGCTCAAAGAAAGCAGGCAGCTGTCAGAAGGGCAGAAGCATGAGTTTGTTGTCTTTCAGCACATCCAGACGAGCTTGCTGGAAGTCATTTATCGAAACAGATCCAACCTGGAGACTATATTCAGGATCATCGACAGAGATCATTCAGGTAAGCAGGTCTGCAAGGGGTGCTGGTCACTGCATTGTATTCTGTTCTACTTTTGGGCCCCTTTAGTATGTACAAAGGCATTTTTATTCAGTGGTTTAAGGCTTGGGTCTTTCTCCTCCCCCAGGAACTTCTGAAATATCACTGTGTGATTCCACTAACTTGATGCATTTTGAAGGGCTCTGTGCAGTCCAGGTAGAGAATTAACTTTTTTGTTCTGAACTTCAGCAGAACAAAAACTGTAATGAGAGCACTGACAGTAATGCAGCATACTTAGGATCTGGAGTGTTACCTGTTTTCAAGCAGTCATCTCCACCAAATTACTTTGGGCAAGAGAAAATACAAGTCTTTGGTTTCTTTTGTTCTCCCAAACTGCATTATATCTTTTTACTGCTTTGTGTTTTAGTCAGTATTCTCCATGATAGGAAATATAGTTGCAGCATGTGAAATGTAGATGATGAGTGATTTCCTTCCTTCTTTTAAGGGTACTCAGGCAGCAGGGGTGGGGTGAGAGTTCAAGCCTGAGCAGGGGTCCCTGCTTGCAGCAGTGCCTGTGGTGACCTTGTGCTGAGGTGGCTGTGGTCTTCCTTTCCTCTCCACAGGCCTCATCTCATTTGAGGAATTCCACCAAACGTGGAAGCTGTTCAGCTCCCACATGAACATTGAACTCACAGATGATGGCATCAACGACTTAGTTCGCAGCATTGATTTCAATAAAGATGGAAACATTGACTTCAATGAGTTCCTAGAAGCCTTCCGCCTTGTCAAACAGTCACAGTAGTGAGAACCTGGTGTGGGTTGCCACCTTCAATGCCTTGACTACCCATGAAGCCAGGACTGCCCCCCACCTAACCACAGAGCGTGCCTGCAAATGTGGAGAAAGGCAAGGCAGATACCTGGAGCACTTTTTGGTTGAAAACAGCCACTGCTATAGCCAACAGCAGTGATCCATTCTGGAAAGGGAATGGGTAAAATAGATAAGCTGTACTTCAAATCTGGCCATTTTTAAGGAGCTGTTTCAAGTAGAGCTTCCTGCTCAAAGGGAAGGTGAAACTTAGCTTATCTTGTCAACATATGTGATGAAATGTTACAGGTCTACTTCCAGTGTTGTGTAGTTTCTCGTAGGTAATGTTTTAAGCTGGTAGCAACTGCTAGAGCATAACTTCCCATTTAATAAACATTTTTTTTCTACATTGCTGGTTCTGGCCTATTTTGTTTTTTTTTTTTTTGTGGCTAATGAACAAAATTATTCTGTCTCTATCATAACAGTCTCCTACTAAAGAGAATAATGTATTTTTGTTTCAGTTATTCTGTGACTTTTGTAATAAGGAAAAAAAGGCAACTTGGGTGGGGAAGCTGTCTCTCCCATACTTGTAGTAGCCCCTGCTCTGGAGTACTATGGACTATGACCTTGTATTTTAGTTGGGACAGAGGCTGCCAAGCAGCTCTGAGACCTTGGGTTTGATACCCGTTACCTGCAGTGCTTGGAGGAGAGAGAACGCATTAACCTGGAGCTGCCAGTAGGTTCACTGGTTTGCTGATGGTGCTGAGCAAGATCCAACACCATTCACAAATTATTACAAAGTCAGACTGAATTTATTACACTCCAGCAATTAAAAAAAGGCAGAAGATAACATCTAGAGATACTGTTGTTATTTAAGGGGCAGCAAAGCTTTGTATAATTCACATAGGGCAAGTGATGAAAACATAACCTTCTTGCAGTCCAAAGGAAGGACAGAAATGGGAAACATCAACTTCCAGCAGCTTGCCCCAGTAAGCTACTGGTATTGCAGAGATCGATGTACGTACAGCAACATACGGATCTGTAATAATTTAAATTAGCTGTTTACATAAGGATGTGACCTAATTGTTTCGACAAACACATGGAAGTGAGCTAAGCTTTCTTCAGACCAAGTCACAGTTGGAACAATTCCATCAGTACTGCATTTCTAGGACAATGCTGTTGTAAAAAAAGGAAAAAAAAAAAAAAGATAAAAAAAGGAAACATGTACAACAGTACATAGTTTTATAGTAAAACAGTATCTGAACAGATTCAGTTGTCCTTCTTTTACTGAAGCATATACAGCTTTACAAAATATAAACCTTCCAAAGGTTAAGTTCAAAAGCTTAGGAGAGGCTTTGCTAATTCTAAAGATAACAGCCAAAATACCACTGTTTTTAGAAAGTATGTATGTGGTTTATTTTTTTAATGTTTTTTTTTTTAGCCTTGCAAGGTAAACCATGAACTTGAGTAACACCTTCTGTGTAAGCCCAGCAGCATCCACTGCATCAACTGAAGACTCCTCTGGGAATACTCTCATTCAGTTCCTGTTCTATAAGTTTGATGTCCTCCAAGTCGTCCTTTATGATGCTTATTAGGTGACTCAGACCTTCTTGCTGCTGCTTCAGATGCTGCAGATAGATAGTTTAAAAATCAGCATGAGCATAGTCCAACTTAACATATTTAAGGTAGTATTTCTCAAAGGTACTGTGGCCTTGGCTGATTGAAAAGCCTGGTATAATTTCTTAGACAGATATCCCAAGTTCCTGTGTAGCTGGCTTAAGTTATGAAGTTAACAGAGCATCCCTGGATTCTCCCCAGTAATACCTACTTGTTTGATTTCCCTTAAGAGGTCTGCATCTACATAATAGCGCTCTTCAGCCCACACAGCTCCAAAGTGGTTTTGCATCCTGATTTGGGACATGAGCTCATTCAGTCTGCCCTGGGAAGAGAGACAGGCTTAAACCAAATCCAACTCATTCACAGCTGTCAGAGCTCTAGCATGTACCACTCCTTGAGGCACCAGGGTTGGAAGCACTGCTGCTCATTCCATTTTAAACTTCTTTTTTGGGGAGGGGGGAGGGAGAGGAAAAGACATGCAAAAGGCAAGCCACTTCAATATTTCTCTGAACTCAAAAATGCTTAAATACCTATCAGTGATGCAACAAAGAGCATGATGCTACAATGCAGCAATACTGCTAGACTTCTCTTCTGAAAGCTTTCCACAACAGCTCTACATGCATGGTTTGGAAAACTTGCATTCTTCTGTGAGGAAAAATCAAAATTGTTAGCAAAGTGCTATTAACTACTCACCTTGAACTGCGTAGGTGCGTTCAGTTCACACTGAATTGTATCTAACTGTACACGAAGTTGCTCTTCGTCTGCTTGGATGGCATAACCGCTTTTCCTTTGGATCTCCTGCTTTATTAACACCTACCAAAAGAAGTCTTTCAGGTTCATTAGAGATGACTTCACCCATTTTTCCCCACTAACCCAAGCACGTCTTTTTGTCCTGCCACCAGCTGTCTCTCATCAGATTTACTCTCTTTAATCTGTTCCTCTGTGACTTTGGGGCAGTCCCACAGCTTCCAAGTACTGAGGGTGTACTTCCCACAGCAGTATGACATGCTGTGCATTGGAGGCCTTCCCTGAGACCTCTGCTGTTACTTAAATAACAGCATTTG